GACAACATGGAGGAGCAGCAGCAGTGCCACCTGCAGATAGTAATCACTGAAGGCCGGACGACACAAGTGCCTAGGGCCGACGAGAACCTTAACTTGGCCCTGGGGGAGTGGTGGTGGGTGACATCCCGTGTAACGAAGAACGGATTGATATTTGTTCACAAGCTCATGGGTGTGCATGAATCGAGTTTCGTGCCCTGTGAACGATTGTTTGTGGGTGCTTTATAGATGAAAATTATGTTAAAGAATACAGCACCGTACGTGTTTTTTTTAAAGGTTCGTTTATGGTGTATGATGAATAGGGGTCATGTGATTTCCCTGCGGCCACTAGAGGCCGCTATATTTCCCAAGGGGTTTTTTTTTCTTCCTATTTGTATTCTATTAAAAGACATACTGTAATTGATTCTCGAAATAGAATCGTGATTCTGAGTCGCGACTCTTTGCCATTCCTGATAGAAACCTCGCGTTTAATGTCAGCGCAAGGAAGACGCTTTGCGACGACGGACCAGTGTAGACGGATTCGTGGTTCGAATTCCAGCGGCCGCCCGGATTAATGCTACCTGTGTGTATGCTGACCAAGGCCGTAGCCATGGAATCAACATTTGGGGGGGGGGGGCAAATCTTCCAGGGTGTCTGGGGGTCCCAACCCAGAAAAATATCTAAATTTTAAAACTAATTTCCTGCCTAAAATATTTAAAAATTAACTAACACATAGGATGGATACTCTTTGGTTCTATTCGGTAAAGTCACGTAGGTAAAAAATAAAACAACAAAAATCACGACGTTTCGGCCACAACACAAGCAGCCTTTTTCAGGTGAAAGGGACAGACCTGTTGGGACGACAGAGCTTCAATAAACGCTGTTAAGATTCGTAGCGCCCTTTTAAGCTGGTTGAGCGAAAGTCAGGCACCCAAGCAGTAGAATTTAGCATTTTAAAAGGTTGAGGGATTAGCTTGTGACTGGTCACAGAAATGGCTATGTAAATTCAAAGCCTACACATCCACAGAGGCACCCAGCACAAATCAAACAATATAATTTAGCATTGAAATAGCTAAGGGGATTAGCTTGTGACTGGTCACAGAAATAGCTATGTTAAAGTTGAAGCCTACACATCCACAGAGGAACCTTGTACTGGTCACAGAAGTAGCTTTGTTAAAGTCAAGGCTTGCACATCCACAGAGGTACCGCGTACATGGACGCCAATGGGTGCTGCAACAAATCAACTATCATACAGTAAACTGATGTGAAAAAACCTAAGTCTAACTTACATCAATATAATAAATGTGCTCAATATATTCTGAGCACATTTTATTTTTTACCTACGTGACTTTACCGAATAGAACCAAAGAGTATGGATCCTTGCAGTCACGAAAGCTTCAAATCTAAAACATAGGATGGACTTTTCATTTATTTTTTACAATAATGTCTAATAGTGGATTGTATTACATTGCTCTGTTTTTACTTTTTTACCTTTTCTTGTTTCATTGCATGTAATGGCAGAGATTAGGGCTTAATAAAGTACAACCATAACCACAATCATATATATGCATTGATTTATATGAAGACAAGTCCAGATATTGTGGCCAAGGTTTAGCAAATTGTTATTTTTATTTACATAGCATAGCAAAAAAAATTATAGCAATATATTGGGGGGGACATTTTGAGCATATTTGAATATTGGGGGGGGGATGTGTCCCCACAATATGTGTCCCCCCCCAATATATATTATAATTACGGCCTTGATGCTGACCAATAAACTCTGCTTCGCAGTGGTCGTGAAATACCTCGTGCCGTGATTTGCAAGAATTAAACCATTTAAAATGTTCCGTGCCATGGCCCGTCTGAACACTTAGAGTGCTCTATAAATAGGGAGCGCAGAGAGACGGTGTGGATAATACGAGTTATGAACTGCCACTTGACACCATGGGGCCTGATTAGAATTTTAAAAAAATAATATTTCCTGATGACCATTTTTGTTGTATTGTAACTTGCTGACCCCCACCACTACTGGATGTCTGTAACAAAAATAGCTGCATAGCTTATCGGATTCCTCAACGTTTCCTGATCAATTTGCATATGAAGTCAACCAAACGGTAACAATTGCCTAACAGATAAACCCCCATTCAACGGGAACGTATTACGAAATAAAAAAAACTATTTAGATGTAATTTTTTTTAAATGTTGCAGACTCATTGGTGACGTTTGTTTCCCTGCGAGTTTCGAGGCTCAGTGCACTCAGCAAAGCATTCCTGCGCCAAATAAATCACGGCTGATGACAACGTGGATAGCTCGTGGCTGTGTTAGTGATGGTGGTAGTGATAATGATGAAGTGTAAGGTAGGACAAGTAAACAAGTTATGAGACAAAGATCCCCCACGCCCCTGTGTATAATTTCACCAGACCGTTGGGGGCACGTGCTGTTAGCGAGCAGCACCTACGAAGGCCGGCACGGCACACAAGGGACAGTGAAGTTGGCAGCACCATCACGCCCCGGGTTGCCTTTGTATCCCAAGTACTCATTTGTGACCGAGTCTACCTAGAGGAGGCCCAGGACCGGTTCAACCAATTTTTTTATCGGGAATTTAAACTCGGGCCAGTGGAGCAGTTGGGATACAGTGAGGGAAAAAAAGTATTTGATTCCCTGCTGATTTTGTACGTTTGCCCACTGACAAAGAAATGATCAGTCTATAATTTTAATGGTAGGTTTATTTGAACAGTGAGAGACAGAATAACAACAAAAATCCAGAAAAACATGTCAAAAATGTTATAAATTTATTTGCATTTTAATGAGGGAAATAAGTATTTGACCCCCTCTCAATCAGAAAGATTTCAGGCTCCCAGGTGTCTTTTATACAGGTAACGAGCTGAGATTAGGAGCACACTCTTAAAGGGAGTGCTCCTAATCTCAGCTTGTTACCTCCCTTTAAGAGTGTGCTCCTAATCTCAGCTCGTTACCTGTATAAAAGACACCTGTCCACAGAAGCAATCAATCAGATTCCAAACTCTCCACCATGGCCAAGACCAAAGAGCTCTCCAAGGATATCAGGGACAAGATTGTAGACCTACACAAGGCTGGAATGGGCTACAAGACCATTGCCAAGTAGCTTGGTGAGAAGGTGACAACAGTTGGTGCGATTATTCGCAAATGGAAGAAACACAAAAGAACCGTCAATCTCCCTCAGCCTGGGGCTCCATGCAAGATCTCACCTCGTGGAGTTGCAATGATCATGAGAACGGTGAGGAATCAGCCCAGAACTACACGGGAGGATCTTGTCAATGATCTCAAGGCAGCTGGGACCATAGTCACCAATAAAACAATTGGTAACACACTACGCCGTGAAGGACTGAAATCCTGCAGTGACCGCAAGGTCCCCCTGCTCAAGAAAGCACATATACATGCCCGTCTGAAGTTTGCCAATGAACATCTGAATGATTCAGAGGACAACTGGGTGAAAGTGTTGTGGTTGTAATGAGACCAAAATGGAGCTCTTTGCCATCAACTCAACTCGCCGTGTTTGGAGCAGGAGGAATGCTGCCTATGACCCCAAGTACACCATCCCACCGTGAAACATGGAGGTGGAAACATTATGCTTTGGGGGCACGTTTTGTTAACGTGGCAAGCCTTACTGGCTGTCAAGTGATGGAGGATTACGACACATTAATACTTACGCAATCTCACCCAAAAACCTTTATTATGAATATTGGTCGCGAAAGCCTACGTGTTTTCAAGTTTCATTTATTAGGTATAGCCCTGTGAGCCATGCGGCTCTTAAGTCGGGTGCAACCGCAACAAACAAAATTTGAACACAGAACATCTTAAAGCGACAACGCGTAACAGAAACATCCTGGAATAAACCAGCAAATCTTCCACACCAAAAAAAACTTATTAAAACGCTGTGTGCAAAAATCAATGTGGTGCAAGCCAACAACAACCATAAGACAATTTAGATTAACCATATGTTTTCAAATCACCAAAATAAAGCTATAAAAACAATGTAACAGTAATCATAGGAACTGTGAATTTAAATTTAACAATAAACGATATACATAACACGTACGACAAAAAACTGCAGCCATAGCTGGCAGCACGACATTCCCAGTGTATGATGTGTGAGTGAGTCAGCAGCAGAGTGAGTGAGTGTATGATGTGTGAGTCAGCGCACGATGTGTTAGTCAGCGTATGATGAGTGAGTCAGTGTATGATGTGTGAGTCAGTGCATCATGTGTGAGTGAGTCAGTGCATGGTGTGAGTGAGTCAGTGTATGATGTGTGAGTGAGTCAGTGTCGGCTCCCTCTGCTCGCGCCGTCGCCCCCCCCCCCCCGGCTCCGTCGCCCCCCCCCCAGCTCAGTCGTCCCGCCCCAACTACCAAGGCGTTGTTATTCTTTTATCTTTCGTACGGCTGCTGATGTAGATAATGCAACAACTACAATTTCACATTCAGGTGGTTCAAGCCCAGATCACCGCGTCATTAGCAGCGGAATGGAATCGCAGCGATGATGTCTCCTTGGTTTTTGTGGATCGGGGCATCGCGTCCGTCATCCTGTTTGTGTTGTCGTTACGCTCCGATCTGGGTGATCACAGCCGCACACTCCTGGAGAGGTTTTTTGTTTGTGCATTCCCCAAGTTTTAACTTTTGTCTGCTAATCGTTATTCATTTCGTAGACACGGGTATTTCCCCACCGGCCAAACATTCTTGCGATGACCTCGCTCACGCCCACCCGCCAATCCACCCACCCAACCCAACCACCCAACCCGACCCTATAGAGGTGCCTGGAAATTCCCAAAAATCCTGGCCCAACCCGACCCTATAGAGGTGCCTGGAAATTCCAAAAAATCCTGGCCCAACCCGACCCTATAGAGGTGCCTGGAAATTCCAAAAAATCCTGGCCCAACCCGACCCTATAGAGGTGCCTGGAAATTCCAAAAAAATCCTGGCCCAACCCGACCCTATAGAGGTGCCTGGAAATTCCAAAAAATCCTGGCCCAACCAGTGACCCAAACCCGACCCTGCCCAACAAACGAACCCGGCCCTGCCCACCCCCGCACCCTGAGAACAACCCCAGCGGCCTCCCCTTTTTTCCCTGCAGTACGAGGCTGGACTCTTGAGGGTGATGAAAGCCCTTCCACCACTCCTCCCCTCCCCGAGATGTATTTGGTAGGTACTGTAACGGTATTCAATTCACTTTGGTTCAATCACTCGCGTGGAGACGGTGGTCAACATTTATTCCCTTCGCACGCAGCGCGCTCTCCGTGCGTCGCTGTGAACGTTCTCAGTCGAATCTTCTCCCCCCCACTCCGTCCCTTCGCGCGTCGTCTTTCTACTTTCTTTGCGACTTTGCGTGTGCCTCTCTTTGGCTGTGTGTGTGTCTGTGTGTGTCTGTGTGTGTGTGTCTGTCTTTCTCTTTCTCTGTGTGTCTGTGTGTGTGTGGGGAGCGATAGTGTAGCGGTTAGCGCTACGCTGCGCTATGAACCTGGCGACGCGGGTTCGTTTCCCGCTCACGGCCAACACCAGTGACGATTATCTGAACCGGTCCTGGGCCTCCCCTAGGTCGACTCAGCCTCAAATGAGTACCTGGTGCGGTGTGTAAACATTGCCACTAGGGAGACAAAGGCGGTCGGGCGTGGTGCTGGCCACCCACCCCCTCGTGTACCGTTCCGGCCTTCATAGGTGCTCGCTAACAGCACTTGCCCCTACAGTCTGTTAAGGCTATATGGGGGATCTTTGTCTTTATCTTTGTCTGTGTGTGTCTGTCTGTGTGTGTCTGTCTGTCTGTCTGTGTGTGTCTGTGTGTGTGTCTGTCTGTGTGTGTGTCTGTCTGTGTGTGTCTGTCTGTGTGTGTCTGTCTGTGTGTGTCTGTGTGTGTGTCTTTCTGTGTGTGTGTCTGTGTGTGTGTCTTTCTGTGTGTGTGTCTGTCTGCGTGTGTCTGTGTGTGTCTCTGTGTGTGTCTGTCTGCGTGTGTCTGTGTGTGTCTCTGTGTGTGTGTCTGTCTGCGTGTGTCTGTGTGTGTGTGTGGGGAGCGGTGGGGCAGCGGTTAGCGCGCTGCGCTACGAACCCGGCCAAACCCGAGTTCGATTCCCTCTCACGGCCGACACCGGTGACGATTAATTATCTGAACCGGTCCCGAGGTCGACTCAGCCTCAACTGAGTACCTGGTGCGCTGTGTAAACATCGCCACTGGGGAGACAAAGGCGGCCGGCCGTGATGTGTTGCCCACCCTCCCTTCATATAGGTGCTGCTCGCTAACAGCGCTTGCCCCAACAGTCTTGTCAAGTCCAGCACGAGTGGTGATGGTGGTGGTCGTGGACTTTGTCGTTGTACGTGGCGTGTTGCCAGCGACTGTCGTGGCGTGTTGCCGGCGACTGTCGTGGCATGTTGCCGACGACTGTCGTGGCGTGTTGCCGGCGACTGTCGTGGCGTGTTGCCGGCGACTGTCGTGGCGTGTTGCCGGCGACTGTCGTGGCGTGTTGCTCGCGACTGTCGTGGCGTGTTGCTCGCGACTGTCGTGGCGTGTTGCTAGCGACTGTCGTGGCGTGTTGCCAGCGACTGTCGTGGCGTGTTGCTAACGACTGTCGTGGGGTGTTGCTAACGACTGTCGTGGGGTGTTGCTAACGACTGTCGTGGGGTGTTGCTAACGACTGTCGTGGGGTGTTGCTAGCGACTGTCGTGGCGTGTTGCTCGCGACTGTCGTGGCGTGTTGCCAGCGACTGTCGTGGCGTGTTGCCAGCGACTGTCGTGGCGTGTTGCCGGCGACTGTCGTGGCGTGTTGCTCGCGACTGTCGTGGCGTGTTGCTCGCCACTGCCGTGGCGTGTTGCCGGCGACTGTCGTGGCGTGTTGCTCGCGACTGTCGTGGCGTGTTGCTCGCGACTCCCGTGGCGTGTTGCTCGTGACTGTCGTGGCGTGTTGCCGGCGACTGTCGTGGCGTGTTGCCGGCGACTGTCGTGGCGTGTTGCCAGCGACTGTTGTGGCGTGTTGCTCGCGACTGTGATCACTGGACACCTGCCTTGCCAACCTGTACTCTCACCAGCACGGTACAATGTAGTATGGTCAAACAAGTCGCCACGACCGACACAACGTGGGCAGGTCTGTATCCATCAAAGGGCTGTAAATTATTATTATTATTGTTGTTGTCGTCATCATCATCATCGTCTTTATCACGCGAAATTCCCGACACATCTCAATTCACAATCTCCAAAGTAAAATAAAAAAAATCGAGTACGTCACAATCAAACGGTGCTCGTAGTAGCAAAGACAGCAGCAGCAGCCACGACGACAGCGTGCGTATCGCGATAAACCTGGACGTTCGGAATTATTGTCAGCCTTTTCTCAACCCTGCAGTTGGACGGGTGAAGGTCTTCCCACCGCCTGGTCAGTCGCAGGGCTTTGTAACACCGTTCTTCCTGGCCACCTTCACAGGCGGCGAAGGTGTCCGGAAATTGTCCGGAAGGTGGCCATCGTAACGCACCTTCTGGACGCGTGCTCGCCCGCGAATGGAATTTGCTCCGGGCGCGATTTTGTTTTTTAGTTCCATTTTAGTTCCATTTATTTTGGTATAGCCCTGTGAGCCATTCGGCTCTTGAATCGGGTGCAACCGCAACAAACAAAAAAACAAAAACACGAACAAGAAAAACATTTTAAAGTGGCTATGTGACTGTGCAAACAGAAAATCCAGGGGAAAAAAACCATCTAAATATTAAATTTTGATTTAAAGCTTTCGTGACTGCAGTAATTCATATTCTTAGCTCTTTCGGTAAAGTCACGTGACTTACCGAAAGAGCTAAGAATATCAAAATATTCCTGAAATAGCACCGTACACCAACGCTGTGTGCAAAAATCCCAGTGGGATGCAAGTCAAACAACACCAACAACCACAAGACAACTAAGATTTAGGCCATCAGTCTAACTCCGTACTACAATAAACAAAAACATGGCCAAACCAAAAAAAACGTTTTCGAAATCACCAAAATAAAAGCCATAAATGCAATGTAACAGTGATCACAGGGACTGTGGGTGCGCGCGCGTGCAAACGAGACCGCTGTGGTGACATCAAATCGTGGAGGCGTCGCCGGTGTAAACGACGACGTTTGGGGAGCTGCAAATGCCCAGGTTGACGCCCGATTTGACTCAGTAAAGTGATGCGTGCATTGTTCACACACGTGTCAACATGTACACTGTGTTAAAAATAACAGTGCTAATATTAGACTTTGTGCTTATTCATATAGCGTTCTACGTTTTTGTTCTCTAACGTAGAGTGCGTGTATTCAGAATGAGCATGTATTAATCCTGGATAAATCTGATGAGCTATAAAGCTCTCTTTCGCAGATGTCCAGTAGGCGCGGGTGAGAACGTCACAACAGCAAACAATACAACAAACACGATAGGAGTGCAAAGTTTAATAAATTATATTCCACTGAGCTATTAGTTTCCTTTTCAGAAGCGACCTGGCCACAAATGATAGCTCAACGAAGTGGCTTATCACGTGGACATTTATAGCAGCCAAATACCCTAAACGCGTGTTAATTCTAAATGTGGAGGGAAAAACCGGAGGACCCGGAGAAAAATCCACGCAACGACAGGGAGAGAGACACCGCAAACTCCAAATATACAGCAGCAACCGTCAGGGTCGGGATCGAAGCCACGACCTCCTGTGTACCAGGCGAGATAGTTAACATCTCACCACCGCGGCGCCCTGCAATGCTGGATGAAGGCCTCTCCCCGTGCCCTTTTGGCTATGGGGGTCTGGTTGGACCATACTTCACCGCGCTGTTCAGGGTGGGCTTGGCGGAGGCAATTCTAGATTTAAATCTTTCGTGACTGCAAGGATCCATACTGTTTGGTTCTATTGGGTAAAGTCACGTAGGTAAAAAATAAAACAACAAAAATCACGACGTTTCGGCCACAACACAAGCGGCCTTCATCAGGAGGCAAGTTGGGCACCCAGATCCGGCTCAGGTATCACTCGCCGCTGATGACTACCTGTCGCTGGGAATCGAACTCAGGTTGCTGGATTCATGGCACGAGAAATGCGAACCACTGCGCCACCGCTCCACCAACCTATTTTAGTGCGAGCGTAATTAATCACTACAGATTTTTATATACGCATTATTTATTTTAGGTAAATCGGTGTGTTGCTTTGTGGTGATGATGATGATGATTTATATTTGAGGGGGGCGGTCGAAACCTTTCGGCACTCGAGGAAGCAAAGTCGGTATAAATTCACGTTTGGAAAAATCGCTGACACTGGCGTACATTACGCGGTGCACTATTTCACTCGAAGGGCCACGCACGGAAGGTGAGACGGCGAGCGTCATCAAACACGATTAGTCAAATGTTATGACGAGGCGCGGTAACGCGCGTCAGTCACCGTTGGCCAGAGACGCCGTGAACCTGCAGTCAGTGATATCCTGGGCACCACGGTGGCTCGGGAGATGTTAACTACCTCGCCTGGTATGCAGGAGGTCGTGGGTTCGATCCCGAACCTGATGCCTGTTGTATATTTGGAGTTTGGATCTGTCTCTCTCCCTGCGGTGGTTAGATGTTAACTACCTCGCCTGGTATGCAGGAGGTCGTGGGTTCGATCCCGAACCTGATGCCTGTTGTATATTTGGAGTTTGGATCTGTCTCTCTCCCTGCGGTGGTTAGATGTTAACTACCTCGCCTGGTATACAGGAGGTCGTGGGTTCGATCCCGAACCTGATGCCTGTTGTATATTTGGAGTTTGGATCTGTCTCTCTCCCTGCTGTGAGATGTTAACTTCCTCGCGTGGTATACAGGAGGTCGTGGGTTCGATCCCGAACCTGATGCCTGTTGTATATTTTGAGTTTGGATCTGTCTCTCTCCCTGCGGTGAGATGTTAACTACCTCGCCTGGTATACAGGAGGTCGTGGGTTTGATCCCGACCCTGACACCCGTATATATTTGGATTTTGCGTGTCTCTCTCTCTCCGTTGTTGCGTGGATTTTTCTCCGGGTCCTCTGGTTTTTCCCTCCACATTTAGAATCAACATCACGCGTTTCGAGTATTTGGCTGCTTTAACATTTTCCACATGATGACAAGCCACTTCGTTGGGCTATCATTTGTGGCCTGGTGGCTTCTGAAAGAGAGCTACATAGCTTAGTGGGGCCTTACCTGGTAAAATAAAAAATAGTTTCATAGT